TTCTTGCCTCAGCCAGTATCGGTATCCTCGGAGTCGACATATCGAGTGACGTGCAGTTTCGTGGTCACTTGGAAGGGAAGGCCAAATTGGCCTCTAAAAAGCTTGGCGTGCTCAGCAGAGCGGGACAGTATTTCATGCCGGCACACCGCCTGCTACTTTACAAGGCGCAAGTTCGGCCTCACATGGAATACTGTTCCCATCTCTGGGCAGGGGCTCCCCAGTGCCAGCTCCTTCCACTTGACCGCATCCAACGCAGAGCGGCTCGAATTGTCGACGACCGAGCCCTTTCCGATCGGCTCGATTCATTGGCACTGCGAAGAGATGTTGCATCCCTTTGCATTTTCTTTCGCATCTACCATGGGGAGTGCTCTGAGGAATTGTTCGGATTAATCCCAGCCGCCAAATTTCACGAACGCACATCGCGGCAGAACTCCCGATACCATCCACACCATCTGGATAATTGGCGGTCCACTACTGTGCGATTTAGAAGATGTTTTCTTCCTCGCACGACCTCCTTGTGGAATCGATTACCATCAGCGATTTTTCCGGACCGATACGACTTAGGGACCTTCAAGAAAAGAGCGTACTCCTTTTTAAAAGGCCGGCAACGCATCTGCGATTCCCCTGGTGTTGCAGTTGTTCATGGGCGGCGGTAGTCACTTACCATCAGGTGAGCTGATGGATCGTTAGCCCCCTCTCCTATAAAAAAAAAATTAATGAAGCATTGTTGCTGTCTTACGTGAGGTTTATTAAAGATGAAAAAATATATCAAGAACCTTAGAGTAATTACACATAGAGTGATAGTGACATTCAAAATTCCGTTTAAAGTTGAAGCAACAACACAATGAATGTGTGCATAAGCCGTCTGTAATTACGTTTGCCCACACGCACACAAGCAAATGAGTAATGTTTGCAAGTTAATGACATTTTCCCCAAAAAGTGGGGAAAATGTAATAGTACAAATCTTCATAGAATTAATATTTAGGTTGTGTTTATAGTTATTTATTAACTATTTGCAAAGAGAAAAAATGTAACATTATTTATTTTTGTCAACTTATGTAATATTTAAATAATTTATATACGTGATATCTTGTGTTATAATCACAAATCTAATATGTAATTATATTATTCTGTTAGAAGTGGTATATTTATATAAATATCTGTTATTTATCATCCATAAAACCTTCTATTATTGGTAAATATTAATTTTTATATAATACTCAATGTATTTATTCTATGATATATAGAGAAGTGGAAGAAATTGAGGAGACAAATGCCCACGTCCTTATCTTCCAGTTTTTCCAATCCAGTCTCACTTATACTTAAGAAGTGAGTAATTGTCAGATAATCATTTTAGCTGTCAAATATTTTTTCATTAGTTATTCCTTACTAACTGTGGCTGTGGCCCGCGGCTTCAACCGCATATCAAAGCATACACTGATCTCGATTCTTGCCATTCTAAGAATCTACGTGATATATTTAATTTAAATCGGTTTCAACGTAAAGGTTACAACATACAACTTTCACAGAATGGATATAATATTAGAAGGAATCACGAGACTTAAGAGTGCGGTCAGCTTCAAGCGATTATTATTATTACTTTATTGCATATTATGAAGAAGGAAAGAAATAAACTATTGAAATAAAACATGAAATTAAAAATGTTTCTTAAATAATATAAAATAAAATAAAATATACTTAAAAATACTTATAAAAATTCTCTTAATGACCCTGAAACTGCAACTGTTTTCTAAACAACTGCCGCTTTGATGACGCTATCCTCAAAATGTTATCTTTTCTACATTCATAAAAAAATCGAACTAAACATGTTAAATATATGTAAATTAGGATAAAAAAGCAATCATAGAATAAAAAATTATCATAATATTATTTATCCTAAAACACATACCATAAAAATGTAAAAACAACTGCACATTATCAAAACAAAATAAAATCAACACATTTTTTTCGTGGCAAATGGGAACCCTAATAATATTTGGCAAATAAAAATACCTATTTATATGTAAATGAGACTATTAGCAGTATGTATGTATTTTTTCCAATATGCATTTTTTATAATTATAGTAATAAGAAAAAATGGGGTAAAATATTTTACTATGCCTAGCAACATTTTCATTATATTGGCGTCTGTCAGATTCATTATTTATTATTTTCTTTTGATGAATGTTTTTTACAAAAATATAAGATTTTAGGCAGTACTTAACCGTGAAATGAGATTTTTACATTTTTTTCGTGATTATGTGATGAGTTGTGACACCCTTTCACAGTACAGTACGCCATTTTTTGAAAAATTGTGCGAGCTGTTTACTCGACTACGTGGACTCGAGTACTAACGCGTCAAAAGTCGTACTTAGCCTTTAAAGGCTAACTTGAAATGGCTTCACTTTGCGTGCGCCTACTGCGGTTCTAAGCCTAATACTTCTATGTCAAGAACTATTATTTGCTATAAATTTAGAGACAGACATAAAAGGAGAAACCATATTTAAAACACTGGAAAAGTTTTAAATAACAAAATTCCAAATGTGCTTGCTGTACATTGCTTTATACATCGGCAACATTTGGTTGTTAGAAATTTACGTGAATGACTTCAATCATTGCAACATGTCATCAGAGCAGTCACTAAAATCCGAAACAACTCCTAAAATGACAGATTATTTAATCAGCTTTGTGTTACTAATGATGAAGATTTCAACCGATTGATCTTTCACACAAAAGTGCATTGGCTGTCAAAAGGAAATTGTCTGACTTGATTTTACAATCTGTTTGACGAAAAAGAAATACGTTTGATAATCTCTGCTCTAAGAAATACCAATGTCAAGTGTCAACTATATGAATATGACACATGTTTTGCCTCTTAACAAAGCATCATCAAGAAATAGATGTTGCTCATCGTAACTGATATAAAATGCCAACTTCGCGGCCCATTTATACAAGTTTTTAACACCGTTTTATCTGTGAAAGTCGGTCTCAGCTAATTAACATTTACCCGATTTTTTCATTCATTACATCCCTTCAGAAGTCCACTGCTGAAAATAGGCCTTTTTACCTATTTATTATAATGAATTTCTACTAAGTTATAGTAACTTTGTCTGATCTGGATAATACAATGATGATGTGTTGATGGGAGCATAATTATTAAAATAATATTTAAACAGGCTTACAATAAAATATTTTGATAATTTCTTATATATACGTAATCTACACATTGAATGAAACTAGATTTTACAAAATTTATTATGGTATAACTTATTTGGCTTAGCTTTCCATTGACGTCCGTCGAGTTGGGTGTTTATACGTATTTTTACATAAAGGTTACACTATTATAAGCACACACACAAAGTGTCAACATGCGGAAACGCGTAATTATTGAGAATTTTTTTGGAAATCAATTATTCTTGCAATGTTTATGTCTAATCCTACCGTAAAACTGGCGCCATTTTGTAATGTCATTGTCGTCGTTAGTAGGGATGTCGATACTTTCCGGAAAAGATCGATTTTTAAATTGATTCGAATCGTAAGCTGATGTATCGATTCACAAAAAATCGATTTCTAAAATATCTATATTTTTTCATGTTTGCATTTATAATGTACCTAAATATAAATCCATTTTATGACAAACAAGAAAGATACCATAATAAGTGATCTCTTATTGTTGTTTTATTTTAACAGTACCTATTAGGGCACATAACAAATAAAATAGGTTAGGTTCAACTTGTGTTAAAGAACCAAATTGATTGACCCCGACTCCACCTGGTACGAGTCTGTCCTACCCCTAGAGTGGTTTTATAGAGCCAGAGGCGCGTAGGGGCAGCAGCCTCCGCCTGCTGTAACAAATCGTTGGTGAGGAACGATGCCTGCGATTTGTTACGCAAAGTCGTAGAGGCTGCTCTTCCTGCAGCGCCGGAGACGTAGCAGTCTCAAAATAGATACAGAAATCCTTCTGAATCAGTCCCCCTATTTATTTATGATGATGGGGATTTTTTTTCTCATAAAATGGATTTATATTTACATTATAAATGCAAACATAAAAAATATAGATATTTAGAAATCGATTTTTGTGAATCGATACATCAGCTTACAATTCGAATCGATTTAAAAAAATCGAACTTTTTTCGGAAAGAATCGACATCCCTATTGACAACGACAATCGACAATACAGTCAGTTTTACGGTAGCAATTGACGACATAAATATTGCAAAAATAATTGATTTTCAATATTTTTTTCTCAAAAAGTACGTGTCTCCGAACGTTGAAACGTTGCGTGTGTGCTTATAATAATGTAACATTTCTGTGAAAAACAAATATCAACCTCCAACTCGACGGATGTGTATGGGGATTGGCATAAATATTGCAAAAATAATTGATTTTCAATAATTTTTTCCTCAAAAAGTACGCATTTCCGCATGTTGAAACTTTGCGTGTGTGCTTATAAGAATGTAACCTTTCTGTAAAAAAAAATATCGACCCCCCAACTCGACGGACGTCAATGGAAAGTCGTACCCTTATTTTTATATTACTTAATAGTTTGCAGCACCCATTGTCATGACTGTGGTGTTCCACGTCCTAATGTCATAGTTAACCATTGCTTCCTTCACTTCAAAATAATTAATTTTTGGTCCAATCTACGCAAAAAGAAGTTACACTATTTTGAAGTTCTACAGTGGCATGTTTCGGTTGAAATTTAATTTTATTACTTATAAGATCTCAAGCAGAAGATAGCATTGGTTGACTATGACATTGGTCATTGACATTGGTTGTGATTGTTAAAGTATTGTAAATAATAGTTTCATTCAAAGATGTTATTTTTTCAATGTTTTTGGGGTAGGTAACAGTTTTAATTGATGTTTTATTTACTAATAAAGTATATTTTCGAATCATCTGTAATTTATAAGAGTACCATAGATAAAATAATTTAAATGTTTTTTTTTAATAACAAAATTATTATTTATGTAATACTTAATGGTTTGCACCTACTTTAGGTGCTTGAATTAAATGCATCGGATGACAGAGGAATTGGAATTGTGAGGGGTCAAATTCTCAGTTTTGCTTCAACTAGAACAATATTTAAGGCTGGACCAAAGTTAATTATATTAGATGAAGCAGATGCGATGACAAACGATGCTCAAAATGCTCTCAGAAGAAGTAAGTAATCATCAATTCACTGATATATTATATAATAACTATGTATAAAAGTAAATATTCCCATTGAATGTTATTAATATGGTACTACTGGTTATGAAGTAACAGTTATGAACTTTGCTGACAGTTTATGTTAGGTATGTTTTAATTTTAAAACAGTGCTATCTATTGTAAAATGCAAGTAATATATTATTCCTTTAGTTACTAATAAATTCATTATGTCATTTAAATAGTTGGGTCGGCTTGAGTATTTCTTATTGTACTATCACTAGGTTTAGGCAGGCCTTTATTATTGTTGCTACCTGCGTATCGTAAATACCTACAATCGCGCGAAACCTCAGGTTACATACGAGCCAGGGCTAGCGCGTTTTCGACGTACAACGTACTTGTGAATTTTAAAGTTTTTTTTTACTAAATATATTTTTTTTGCTTATTATTTGTATACTTGTATAAATATTTTTGTTTATTGTTTAGTATATTTAGTAATAGCAAAAATTGTTGTATAAGTTTTAGTGTAATTTAGGTATATGTATATTATAGAAAATACACTCATTAAAAATTTAGAAAACATAATAACGAAAAAACAACAAATAATTTACTCAAATTATTAACTAATACATATTAATTTTATCACTGCATGTCCATGTTTTCCATCCCAGTATTTACTTAAATTATACGTCAGATTTAACAGATTTAAAACAGCTTACATTCGTTATGTTACACAATTGACTATATAAATCATATTAGAAAAAGCTCAGTAGCGATCACATCGAATTATTATTATCGCTAATAAAGCTTGGCGTGCTCAGCAGAGCGGGACAGTATTTCACGCCGGCACACCGCTTGCGCAGTCGTTTGAAAATATAGTACTACAACTTTACAAGGCGCAGGTTCGGCCTCACATGGAATACTGTTCCCATCTCTGGGCAGGGGCTCCCCAGTGCCAGATCCTTCCACTAGACCGCATTCAGCGCAGAGCGGTTCGAATCGTCGACGACAGAGTTCTTTCCGATCGGCTTGACTCACTGGCACTGCGTAGAGATGTTGCATCTCCTTGCGTATTTTATCGCATCTACATATTACGGGGAGTGCTCTGAGGAATTGTTCGGACTAATTCCAGCCGCTCAATTTCACCATCGCACATCGCGATAAAACTCGCGATACCATCCATACCTACTCGGCGGTTCATCACTGTGCGATTTAGAAGTTTTCTTCCTCGCACAACTTCCTTGTGGAATCGATTACCACCAGCGATTTTTCCGGACTGATACGACTTAGGGCAAGAAAAGAGCCTACTCCTTTTTAAAAGGTCGGCAACGCATCTGCAATTCCCCTGGTGTTGCAGCTGTTCATGGGCGGCGGTAGTCACTTACCATCAGGTGAACCGCATGCTCGTTTGCCCCTCTTCTATTAAAAAAAATATTATAATAATTCCTGAATATTACAGTAACAACCCTTTTTATACAATCTTTGCTTAATTAAAGTTTGGACATTTGTATGTTTTAAGGCACATGCAGTGCCCCAAGAATATCCCTGTGGAGTGGAGTGACTGGTAATGCTACCTTGTGTCTCTGTAGTATTTATAAAATGAATATCACTTATTTTTTAAAACTACTCTTATCAGGGACATGTTGACTAGGAACTGAAGAAAATCTTAAGATCCAAATGTTCCTTAAGTTACAGCATAGCCAAATAATCTTCAATCCTCTTATCAACATTACAGCCCTTCACAAGTCCACTACTGAATGTAATCCTTTCCCAAGGAATGTCACAGAGCACAGTTCTGAGCCACTTGCATACATCGACTTCCTGCATCGCTTAACAGGTCGTCACTCCATCAAATCTGTGTGTGTGTGTGAGCGTGTGTGTGTGTGTGTGTGTGTGGGTGGGGGGGGGGGCATACTATGAACCTACACTCCGCTAACCGGCACAAGGCTGCCATTAGAGTACCTTTCTTCCCCGTCGGTTCTCGGTTCTTCGAGCTATATGGACTCCTCTTTGTCACTTCAGCCTACTGATTCGTTGGACTGTCGGTTACTCGGTTATACTGTGTACGTGGTAGAGTCATGCTGCAACTATGTTATGATTGAAGCACGGTTGAGTTGGCAACGAAGACCGACGAAGAAGCAACTTAATGCTGCTGTGTTTCGTATGGTGAGTGTAGAAAGCCGGAGACCCTTTTACTGGATACGAGACAATCTATTCTTGTCCTCAAGGGTGACGTGCAGTTTCATTCTTAACCGAGGAAAATTGAGGAATAGGAAATGTAGATGTCTATGGGCCATAGTACCCACTTACCATCATCTGTGTTCTCGTTTGTCACACTTATGTCACACATATCTATAAAAAAAACTGCGGATATCCTCATTTTGAAGTCCATCACGTAGAGAACTCTGAGCATATCCCTCTATAGTTCGCTGAGCGAAATTGTGCTTCCTTATTAAAGCAGTGAAGGACCATGCCTTAGACCCATATGTCCTGGCAACACGCACTGGACAATTTTTTGTTTCATGTTTTTATATACGACAAATATTCCTTTAGCTGATGAATATTATTGGATACTAAAATGTTGTATACTTTTCAAAAGAGAGCCTCGTATCGTTATAAAATCTTCGGCAGTAGCCGCTATTTTTTTTTGCGTTAATTTACTCTCGCTATTAATAAGGTAAAGAAAAAAAAAACAATAATGTGACGTTTTACCCCGCGTATAATCCTGAGCCTAAGTTAGTTTTTTTCTTGTTTTTTAAACTTCATAGCGTGGTTTCACGTTGTAAAACAGTTGAATTACAAAGAAATAGAAACAGTCGTGAGAACTAGCACATTCTACGAGGATGTTAGTACCTTTCCGCATTAAATGTTCCATAGCGTGGTACTTATAATATTTGTTTACGAAATACGGCCTGTTTGGTTGCTATGGTACCACCAAAATTCTGCCTTATTAATTTTAATGTAAAACGTGTTTATTTAACTAAATAAAAGTTTCTTTACTAAATGCGCTAAAGCTTTTCATTAATATTTTCAATAGGAGTATACAATGTGATGTGTTAAATTAATATAACTTATTAGGTTAATGCAAAATGCATTAGGAAATTAAAAATAAATGTATATTTACTCACATAAATGAACGCCCATAAAGAACAACATGTCTGATATAGAGGAAGAAGAAATTCAGAATAGAACAATAAAAATTACGGTCCTTGGTGAACCGTGTACCGGAAAAGTAAGTCATTACATACTTTCTGTATGGTTTTCTAATAATTTTTGTTCAAGAAATGAATTCATTTATTTTTTGTTTTAGAGCAGTCTGTGTCATCGATATTTAGGAACGAATGAAACCAATGTACCGAGCGGTAGTACTCAGGGGGCTGAAGTGCTGGCAGGGCAGTGTCTAGGACTTCGCCCTCCAGTTTCCATACACTTGTGTGACGTATCAGGCAACACACTTTCTACTTGTATGCTCAGAAACTACTTGTACGCTTCTGATGTTAGCATTTTATCTTTTTCTTATTGAATCGATTAGCTTTGTTGCTGCTATATTCATTCATTTGTTGTCGTCATTCATTCATTACAGCCTATCGTAAAGTCTACTGCTAAACATAGTTCTCCATAGATTGCCTCATAGATGAACCCTAGATTGCTATCATAGAGGAATATTTGCCATAGTTGGTTCCCGGAAGATGTTGCTGCCCATCTCCTCTTTTATTTCCCTCTGTCGCCTTTTACGACACAACTAAAATGTTAATAAAGAAATCTATGGCACGCAAGTAATTTATACCACATAAAAGGTAATCACGGTCATATTAGTTACAAAATTTATCTATACAAATAAATAAAGTTGAAGTATTTATTTGTAAATAACAGCTTTTTACTAAATGCATATAAAAGTATATACGATATTTGTAACTAGTGATGCAACGAATACGAATACGAATATTCGTATTCGCCGAATAGTAGACATTTACCGAATATTCGTATTTGGCGAATACTGATAACGAATATATAAAAACTAATATTTTTGTACGCAACTCTTAATTATTGGCAGACTTGGATAACGTGCGTCGTCGGTGCGTAAAAATACGTGTGGTTTGGCCCTTAGCCTCAACGACGGGGGACTCCCAAAAATATTTTTCACTGAAACTATGTACAGTCACCTCTTTTTTCAACGGCTGGTAACATCCAAACTGAAAAAAGAAATCGCCTAAAACCAGAAAATCTTCAAATTTTATGTTTTTTAAATAAACATTTGCCTATTGTAAATTTTAATTATTAGAACAATAGAATTTCATTTAATAAATTAGTTTTTTATTACCATGGCGAGATATTCGTATTCGTAATCGCCGAATAGTAGGTTTGATATTCGTATTCGTAAAAGTAGAATTCGTTGCATCACTACTTATAACAAAAAATAAATTTTTAAAATATTTTTCTGTCTGATCCGGCTAATCTCCGAAATGACTGGACCGATTTTGACGGGACTATATAGTTATAAGGATTACTTAGGCAACTTTTATTTTAGAAAGGAATTAGGGTTTGGTGCAAACACTTTAAGGTACTAAACAGGTAATAAATTCAACGCGTACGAAGTCGCGGGGAACAGCTAGTCCTGTTATATTTATGCGATTAATGTTGTTTAATTTTGTATTTCTTCTAGATAGTTCTATTTGTATATGACTTATCAAATTTACAAAGTTTCGAAAATTTGAATACGTGGATACTGTCTGTGAAAGAAATTTTCGAACAAGAACAAAAGAAACCTCTGATGGCATTGTTTGGAAATAAATCAGACTTGGAACATCAGAGAGCTGTTCGGCTCTCGTGCGTAAAAAAGTTTGCTTCAAAATATTTACTGGAGAATTTCAAAGGATCAGCTAGAACTGGAGAAATGGTATATTCTGTTTAGTTTCTGTCGATTTACAATAATCGTTTTTTGTTTATTACCGTTTTTGTATATTTGTCCTATTTTACTGTTAGTAAGGTTAACTAAATATACAGCAAAAATATCATAACTTGAAATGTAATTTATAGAGATGTACCGAGTAGTCGGTAAAGCCGACTATCCGGCCATATTTGTCGTCAGCGATTAGTCGGCGACTAGTCGGCAAAAAGCGTCGATTAGTCGGCCTATTATTTTAATTATTTATATTTCAAATAAATTAAATGATCTGTACGATAATTGAAATGAAATCTTAACCTTAATAACGATAAATTATTAACAAATAGTTTTTATTTTAGAATCAGTCCGATATTTAATAGAATCAGGCGTTACTTTGCAGAAGTCCATTATATTAAAGTTGACAAAAAATTACTTTGCGTACATCCGCGCGATAAAATAAAATGATGTGTCTTACCTAGTTTGAAGAGCACCTTCCGCCCTCCCTCAATTGCGTGCACTATCCCCGTCACCACTAATCCCAGCACCACTACTCCCAACACCACTACACTAGGAAAGACACACCACTGATGACAATACGACACGTGTTTCGCCTCTACACGAGGCATCCTCAGGTGATAGAATCTACGGTGGCTAACCGCTAAGCGGTTCACTTGGGAGTAGTGTTGGGAGTAGTGGTGCTGAGATTAGTGGTGACGGGGATAGTGCACGCAATTGAGGGAGGGCGGAAGGTGCTCTTCAAACTAGGTATGACACATCATTTTATTTTATCGCGCGGATGTACGCAAAGTAATTTTTTGTCAACTTTAATCAGTCAGATAGTTTTTAATATATGAATAAGAACTTTTATAGATAATACCTATTTTCTTTTTATACTACCTATGAACTTTTCCTTCAGAAAATAATTGGTCTTACATAAATCAAGAAGACAATTAGAATTAACAAAAAACAAATTCTAAACAGGAGTGTCAATACCTCTTAATAAAACAACAACAATAACTTTAAGAGTATATTATGGTAATACTCTTAATGGGATGGAGGTATAAATCCCGGAGTAGTAGGAATTAAAATGTAAACTCACTGTGTATTATTTATTTAGCAATAATGAAAAAATTAGATAATTAGTTTAAAAATGTAAGTAATTTAACTACTAAATGTACAAAGGTACATTTTCATATAATAAAAAATATATAAAATTATTTATAATATTTTATTAGAGGCAATTTATGATGTAAAAACACCAGAGACTCGCTATACACTACTAGTCGGCCCATCTCTAGTAATTAATATATTTTGCATGGATAAATGTTAGCTTGTGCTGTGTTATGATAGCGTAAGAATATTTATCTCTCTATTTCTTCTCTTGGTGTCTTAAGACAACTAGGTAAGGTCAGTCAAGTTACTCGTAAAGTAAGTCGAAGTCAAGAAGATTTGGTGATCTTCGACGAACGGCAAACGTTCTTTTAAACTCTAAACTTTAAAATACCAAGATCGGCGATGCGATATTTTGGTACCACGATCTAGTTTTGCGAATATGCCAAAACCCTTTGAAATTGTGATAGCCCCTATCCACCAATAGCATGTGGGACTGAGTGTGATAATAAATTTTACTTTATTCAATTTCGTACAGTTTAGTTTATTTTTCAGGTTAACCACACATTCACGAACCTTATTGCTCGTGTATTAGGTCCCCAAGTTCAACTCCTGCAAACAGTAAGCTTGAAGGCTGATACAAATGTGTCCGAGCAGCCTAATGATCACTCGCCGCAGTTGGATGGAATACCGACGTCACCTCTCATTATGAACCGAAAGACTCTGAGAAGACTACAGCGAAAAGCATCTTCATCCGTTTGTTGTATTCAATAACAATAAATTTTATAAAAAAAAAAAAAAACTTTAGCCCTCTTATTGTTTCCTGTTCTGTGATTTATAATTACCTGCGTTGTCGTTGCCAAACTCCTATTTTTAACCCACTTCAAAATGAAGTAGGTAGTCAATTCGAATTTTTTTTTTTGTGTGGTTACCTCATAAATTTTTTCTAGGTGAACCGTATTTGATCAAGCTCAGACCAGTGGTTTTTGAGTTATCCTTAATAATTTATATTGAAGTCGGTTGTACAATTTTTTTTTAACTTTACCACTTGTTATATTATAGTAAGCGCGTAATGGTTCTTGTTTTAACATATCTGAGTGTACCGTATTACATTGCCAATGCGGGCACGAGTTTGTTTTTACAATGGAGAATGATTTTAAATGATTGCACTGTTTGTAAAATTTCAAAACAACAAAAAAAATACAATAAAAAAACTTCGCTTGCCAACCCGCTCGCCAAGCGTTGCAACTATGGCAAATACCCCCCCCCCCCCCCCCCTATGAATGTAACAAAGGGACGGCCCCCAGTCCTCGGCGGCCCCGCTATTCCTGGCTACGGTGGCGACCATGGTAACGGCGGGGCAGGGGGTGCTAAGAATCTCCGGTGGAGGTTCGGTTGAGTCGACCTGGCAATGTACAACGCACGCACCCTGAGGACTGACGAGAAGATTGTGGAGCTGGAAGAAGAGATAGACAAGTTACGCTGGCATATTATAGGATTATCCGAAGTCCGAAGAGAGGGGGAGGACATGGTAATCCTCGAATCCGGCAACTTGCTCTATCACCGGGAGGGCGACCATCTGTCCCAAGGAGGTGTCGGATTTATCGTCCACAAGTCTCTCGTTAACAACGTTATAAAGATTGAGTGTGTCGACGAGGGTTGCGTACCTTATACTCAGAATCACCAAACGGTATTCGCTGAAGGTCATACAGGTTTACGCACCAACCTCGGCACACACCGATGAGGAGGTGGAGAAAATGTATGAGGATATTTCTAGAGCCATGCATTCCTCTAAAACCCAATATGCGGTGTTAATGGGAGACTTCAATGCAAAACTAGGCACAAGAGAGAACGGTGAGCTGAAAGTAGGGAAATTTGGAATAGATCAACGGAACCCAAGGGGCCAGCAGCTGGCTGACTTCATGGAGAAAGAGGGACTTTTTATGATGAACTCTTTCTTCCATAAGCGGCCCCACAGAAAGTAGACCTGGTCGAGCCCCGACGGTTCGACGAAAAATGAGATTGACTTCATTATGACGACCAGACGACAACTGTTCAGTGATGTCTCCGTGATCGCGAGGGTGAAAACTGGTAGCGATCACCGAATGGTCAGAGGCACATTGAACATAAACGTTAAGTTGGAGAGGTCTCGTCTAATGAAGTCAACGCTCCGTCCCCCTCGTGCTCTGTTCCAAAATCCCGAAACCTTTAGCTCGAGTTAAAAAACCGTTTTCAGTGCCTAGAAGACTGCAATGAAGTGGACGATATGAATAACAAGCTCGTGGAAATTGTCCATGCGTTCGGATCTAAGTTCTGCAAGATCCGCCGCAGAAGAACACAAAAAATCTCCGATCACACTCTCAATCTCATGGCTGTTAGACGGGAGTTGAAGCTAAATTCTTTAACAGATTTGACAGCATACGGGCAACTGAACAGACAGATCTCCAAATACATGCGACGGGACTTACGCAACTTCAATACAGCTTGTACTTAAGAAGCGATCGAGCGGAACCAAGGCTCCAAAGTCTTTGCCAGATATCTGTCTGCCAGAAAGAGCCAACTGTCGAAGCTGAAGACCGAGTGTGGGAGCATCGTTTCTGGGGCACCTTAGATTTTGAGTGAGATTGAAAGGTTCTATGGGCAGCTTTATACACAACACACGCAAGTGTGAGTAACGATCCAAGAGCGAGTCTTATCCGACACTATTTCGATATCTTCGAAATCGGTTCGAAATCGGACGTCAGTCTGAGCGAGATTAAAATGGCTCTCCAGCACCTGAAGAATGGCAAGGCCCCAGGCGAGGATGGAATTACAGCGGAGCTTCTGAAAGCGGGTGGAAGACCGGTACTTGAAGTCCGACTTCCAGCCTCCCGAACAAGCCGGTTTCCGAAAGGGCTTTAGCACTATAGACCACATACATACCCTTCGGCAAATTGTACAAAAGTCCGAAGAGTACAATTTGCCACTATGTCTGACGTATGTGGACTATGAGAAAGCCTTTGATTCCGTCGAAATTTGGGCGGTGTTGCAGTCCCTTCAGCGGTGCCAAGTTGACTGACTGTCGGTATATCGAAGTGCTGAAGTGTTTGTACAGTAGAGCTACGATGGCTATCCGAGTACAGAACCAGAGTACGAAACCTATCCAATTGCAGAGAGGTGTAAGACAGGGTGATGTTATATCCCCGAAACTCTTCACCGCTGCATTGGAAGACGTTTTCAAGCTTCTGGACTGGAAATGATAAGGTATTAACATCAATGGCGAGTACATCACTCACCTTCGATTTGCCGACGATATAGTTCTTATGGTAGAATCACTGGAGGACCTAATCACCATGCTCAATGACCTCAATAGTGTCTCCCAACGAATAGGTCTTAGGATGAACATGCACAAAACAAAGATCATGTTTAATGTCCATGTCACACCTATGCCGGTAGTTGTTGGGAGCACTAAGCTCGAAGTTGTTGACGAGTATGTTTACTTGGGACAAATAGTCGGACTAGGTAAGTCCAACTTCGACCGAGAGGTCAATCGACGGATACAACTCGGCTGGGCAGCGTTCGGGAAACTACGACACATCTCGTCAGACATACCTCAAAACCTTAAAATGAAATTGTACAACCAGTGCGTGTTGCCAGTTATGACTTACAGATCTGAGACGTGGTCCTTCACTGCTGGCCGTTTGACGAAGGTCAAGGTCGCTCAGCGATGGACAGGGCTATGCTCGGGGTTTCTCTGCGTGATAAACTTAGAAATGAGTATATCCGCAGTAGAACAAGAGTAACCGACATAGCCCAACGGATTAGTAAGCTGAAGTGGCAGTGGGCCGGCCATATAGCTCGAAGAACCGACAAACGGTGGGGAAGAAAGGTTCTTGAGTGGCAGCCTCGTACCGGTAGGCGAAGTGTAGGGCGACTCTCAACGAGATGGAGTGAGGACCTGGTAAGACATACAGGAAGTCGATGGATGCAGGTGGCTCAGGACCGTGCTTTGTGGCATTCCTTGGGGGAGGCCTATGTTCAGCAGTGGACATATGAAAGGCTGTAATGATGATGATGATGATGATGATGAGTAAAGAATGCCTAAAGTATGCTTTTGTAAGAGGGAATGCAATAAATAATGAATAAATAATATAAATAAAATATCTATTTATTGTTTCAGTAATAGAGAAGTACACGGACAACGTAAGATTTTGTATCATTTGCAACTACCTGGGTAAGATCATCCCGGCGTTGCAGTCTCGTTGCACGCGCTTTCGTTTTGCGCCGCTGCAACAGAGTCAGATTGTGCCACGCTTACAAGACATTGTTGCCAAGGAAAAGTAAGTTAAATAATTCGTATATCAAACATATAGGTTGCTTTTATAGCCTCAAAGGGTTGACTAGACAAAGAAATAATCAACCAGATAAATCTTATTTTGAAAATGATTAAAAAATAATGTTTGACTAAGGGTATTCTGTTTTTACGTAGACATTATGAGATTTCTTGTCATTTCATATATACATAACTCGTATGAATATCACCGCTAGACAAGTTTATCTTCCATAGTTGGCAAAATTAGTGGTACTCTCCACGCTTGCTAGGTGAAATTGGCGATCCCAATACTAAAGTTTTGTTTGACGTAAGCTACGTACTATATTTAAGTTAAAGTATGTGTATGCCCATATTTAAGGTTGTGGAAGTGATTATTGATCTGTTATGCTTCTTAAAGAAGGAATTATCATAATAAAGACTTTCCCTTTCTATGGAGTCAGCTAGTTGTTGCTCTTTCGGGTTCCGTTCTCCAATTCTAAAGTTCCCCCTTCTCAGCTCATCGAAATCGAAGGAAAGATCCTTGTGCCTAGTTTTGCGTTGAACTCCCTCATTAACACCGTGTAATGAGTTTTAGTAGAAAGTATGGCTATTGAATCCTCATACATCACTTCCACCTCCTCATAGGGGCGTGTTAAGGTTGCTGTTTATACCTGTATGTCCTTCAGGGGATACTGTTTGGTAATTCTGAGTATAAGGTACGCAATCCTCGTCGACACACTGCCAATCTTCACAAGTTGTCAACGAGAGACTTGTGGACAATAAATCACCCTTCCGATAATAGTGAAAGTTACCGGATTGGAAGACTACTGTGTCCTCCTTTTTTCGGACTTCAGTTAATCCTATAACGCCCCAGAATAATCTTGTCCTAACTCTTCCCTCCAGCTCTAGAAGCTTCTCGTTTGCCAATTGCCAGATCCAATCGTTGTTGTTAAAAACCAAACCTACCCCGGAGATTGTTCGCACCCCCTGCCCCGCCATTTACAGGACTGCCACTGGAGTTAAAAACAGCAGGACTGCTGGTGACTACATGGCGTTTATTATTTGCAGCTTTTATAGAGGGGATATATGCCATAGTTGCCACTTGCCACGCTCATCTTCTGCCACGGTCAGTTGTTCCTCTTCTGTCGACTCTTACGACAGCTACAGTATGATTTGTGGTATTCTTACACCGCCGCCCTACATCAATTTGTTGGCAACACACCAACAACACATTGTATGACATTATCACAAAAACGATATGTACACATTTTTACATCCACTGATTTGCATATCAATTGCAAGTGTACAGATTGAGTCATGCAAACTTAATTTGGATTAATTTGTAGTAGGAATAACATCCAAACAACACAATGCGAAATTATGCAAATAAGTCATGTACCTAAATAAAAAAAGAACAGAATCATTTATTAGGACAACATGGTAAATATACAAAATATTTTATTTAAGCTCTCTTCAGAATTATGCACATTTTTTA